TTATTTTCTTGTCTAGACTGGGAATATCTCCTGGATCCAGGGATAAACAGGGCTGGAGCATCAGGATGGATAATTCAGTGTTAACACCGCTGGGATTCAACGAGGAGCTGGGGGTGCACGTCCTCATCTCCAGCCTAAAACTATTCCTTCTCCCTGCCCAAAGCAGAGCCGAGCATGGGAGGAGGAGGAAGAGCAGCTCCTGCTGCCAGGATCCGAGTTACCAATGAGTATTTATTTGGGGAGGGGGAAAGGAAGCAGATGTATGTACATACACATTCAGTCACGTACGTTTCCTCCCCAAAAAGGCCCCATGAACATATATTACAGAAGGTCTCTGGATCATTATTATTATCATTTAAAAGCTGGGGTTGTGCCCCAAGGGCTCACTGTAGAGGACAAGCAGCGACGGGTCCTCACCGGCCTCAGGCACAGCAGCCAGGATGGGGCCGTGTTCGGTGACAGCCTTACGACAACGTCCCTTAGAACACCTGAAGAACACGGGACTCGCTCTCTTCTCTCCCCTGGCACACGAGGCCAGCATCCAAACCTCAAACCGGCTTCTGAGATCTCCTAAAACCATGCTGGGAGGATTTAAGGCTGATTTTTGGCCCTGGTCCTTCTTCCTTTAGCCTCAAACCTCATGGACAGGCTGGGGAGCGGTTTGGCGATGGCTGGAAGCCCGGCGCAGGGTGATCCAGGAGGAGGAGGTGAAGCGGTGCCGCACTCGGTGATTGCATTAGCCAGGAGAAGAAAACATGCACGGCAGCGATGTGTGTTCCCCTCACCGTGCCCCATTCCTGTTCTAAAAGGAACAAGTCCTCTGCTCCCTGCTGCGACGGGGGGATGCTCAGCCCTAGCCCACCCCACGTCCCCCTCTCCCACACTATTTGGGGGATATTATTCCATGAAAGGCAAATTATTTTGCCTCGTTGCCACTGGATGAGGAAGGTGGAGGCTGCATGGCTGGACAGGGAAAGCGGCCAAGCTCGGCCTTGCCTCCTGCATGAAGTGTCCAGTTGCTCCCCAAAATGTGCCGGACATCCCCAACGTGGTGGGGATGAGGTGTAGGGTCCATGCCTGCAGGCACCATCCTGGTGGGGAGCAAGAGCGATGGCAGGAGGGTTTGGGGTGCCGCTTGGCTGCAGGGCAGTTGGATACAGGCCCTGCTCTCCAAAACTGGTCCCCCGTGATCCGTCGTCCCCCCGGGCAGGGTTAGCACCAGGGGTCCCGCTCCGCTCGCCCGCGGCAGAGGCTGTCGCTGCGCTGCCACGCGCTGTCGATGAGGCTCTGAGCGTCCTCGCATTTCTTCTTGATGGCAGCATCCAGAATGGCCTTGTGCAGGAGGTCAACCTGAAACACACGTGTGGGGCAGTCAGGAGGGGAACGGACCAAAGCTGCTTCTCTCCCTTGGTGTTGAACCACCCCAAACCCAGATGGCAAAGTCGCTGTGTCATAAATACTGGTGACAAAGGGGGATGGGGCTGAACCAGGCTACTCCCCTCACTGGCTCTGGATGCTCATGGCCCGTCTTGCCATAGGATTTGGGCTCCAAATCCCATATACCATGGTTATAGGGACACTCTGTGGCTCTCCTGCGTCTTGTGGGAAGGCTGGGTTCAGCCCACACGGAAGAATTCACCCCCACTTTCCTCAGAGGGTCCTGCTGGCCCTTCCTCACCAGAGCAAGAGTGTGCTGCAGCCTCACACACTCACCTGGTAGATGTTCCTCCATGCGGCTTTCAGCGCTGAGAGGAACCTCTCCAGTTCTGTAGTGCAACTAAAATAGAGGACCCAGGGGGGCAGGAACTGCTTGCTGTCCTGAGCAAACTCCTAAACACCAAGAGAGAAGCTGGCTGTTACCACTGGGGTCCTTGCCCAGCCCTGGGACAGCCATTCCCAAAGCACCACGCTCACCAGGATACAGTACTCCTTGCCTGCCTCCGTGGAGACAGCGGTGATGTCCGTGAGCTCCATGGTGCCCAGCGAGCGGAAGAAGCTGGTCTGACAGTCCTCGTGGCACGTGAAGGCCTTCTCGTCTGTCAGCACGAGGCAGCATGGGACACACGGTGTGGGGGCAACACCCTGGGGGATCACCTGCATGGGGTGGGGAAAGGGGGGGTTAAAATCCGGCATGAAGGAGATGTGTCTCCATAGGGTGCCCCATGGGAAAACCCTGCTGAAGAGGGAGAAAACTGCCTCCTCCATCCCTGCCAGACATCCCTGGGCAGCTCCAGATTGGCAGAGCTGTGCCCCAGAGGGGCTTCGGGTGATGCACCCACACTTGGGGCCTGTCCCCGGCTCACCCCTTTGGAGACAGCCTGGCAGAAGTACTGCATCCAGTCGGCCATGTCCTCCTCGTTGTCGGCGCTCAGCTCCAGGGAGGGCCGGTCCGTCAGGATCACCTGGAAGGAGTGGGGCCGGTCGGTGGTGTTGGAGCGCCGGCATCCCCCGCACTGCTCACCGCTGGGAGAGAGGGGGGAGGATGGAGATCAGTGCCGGGGCGGCCTCAAAGCAGCCTCCGCCTGCCCTCCCGGTGCTGCGTGGCGCCTGCTCCCCACAGGAGACATCCCCTGGGCTTGCTCCAAGGATGTCCTCGGTCTCTGCACAAAAAAAAAATGAGAGTGCTGGAGGGTTACATCAGCCCTTCAGAGGCCAATTCCCCTTCAAAGGGTGTGCAACAACCAGGAGGAAACGAGCCCATCTCCAACTGCTGGCACCGGAGCCTGAGCAAACAGGCATCTGCACCCAGCCAGGAGCAAGCAGGGAGTCCTGCAGCATGGACTGGATTGTGATGGGCCCCGAAACATCTCTCTGAACACCTCAAGGAGCTCCTGATCCCCAGATCCCCAGTGGGTCTGGGTGCCACATCCTGCCAGCCACTTACCCCATGTTGATGGAGAGCAGAGGGGTGACGTCCGTGCGGTCCGGGTACTGGTACAAGATCCCGTTGCTGCCGGTTGGGAAGATGAGAGAGGTGGTAACCGGAGTCAGCTCGGCTCTGGCAACTGTGAACACCCTCTGCCTCCGGTCCCCCTGCCACTCCTGCCCTGCCCTCCACCCATAAAACGGTGGGGTGTGCCTCCTGCTGTATGGAAAGCCACAGCTGGTGGCTTCATCCTCCCAGGTGACAAGATGGGTCCTCTCCATCACCCAAAACAGCTCGTGGGCAGCAAACTGGTCCCAACACCTTCTCCAGTGAGCCCTGGCTGACCCCACTCCCAACTCACAGCCCTGGCACCCACCTGAGCACCACAAAGCAGGTCTTCCATTGCTCCTTGCCCAGGTAGGAGGTCCCTGCCTTGTAGTGTAGGATGCCATCCTTGGTGACCGTGTTTTCAGTGGAGGTGTAGCTGTGGCTGGCGGGTCCCAGCGCCTCATCCATGGGGTCTTCCCAGTGGACAAGGCCATAGAAACGCACAACCACGTTGCAGGCCTGCAAGAATAAGAAGTCAACGGGAGGGAGTCTCCCATGGGAATCTCACGTGCAATGATGGCCGCAAGGTCCAAACTCACCTCACACTTGGATTCCTGCGCCACAAACTTTGCAAGTGCCAGTTTCTCCATGGTGGCATCTGTGAGGATACTGGGGTACGGCGGCTCCCGGCACCCTTTGATCATGGCTGACTTCAAGGAGAGCAGGAAGAATCTGAGAGGGAGACAGAGATGTCTGATGAGGCTGGGGCTGAGAGGCCTCCTCTCCCTCGCATGCTCTGATGCCAAAGGCACTTCCCTTCAATGTGAGCCTCTGGTTTTCCAGACCAAAGGATCCCAAAATCAACCAACAGACCAAGGGTGCGAAGTCTGAACTCCAGGAAGGAGATGGCTGAGAGTGGGAGATGGACACTCATCCCAACAGAGATCCAGGCCCTAAAGAGATCACCTCCCTGAGCTGACAACATGCAGACAGACCTGGGGACATGCCTTGAAACTCAAGATCTTGTCCCTACCCATCCAAAGTGACACAAAGGACACACAGTCTGCGTGGCCCAGAGCCCCGAGGCTGTCAGCCTGAGGGACGGGCTGACTGCTGTGTACCTCCAGGGAAGACACTCCGGGCTTATCCGTGCTCAAGGCATTTCCAGTTTCCTGCAGGGTTCAGCCGCTGGCATCAAACCAAACCCCAAACCCCCACTGATGGCAGGACTTTGTGGTGAAGGGCTGTCACCAGTCTCCTGAATGCCCCAGCTCACCCAGGAGGAAGCACCACAGCCCGGTCCCTGCTTACTCGGTGAGAGCCACGTCCGCGGCGTCAAGCAGGAACTGCTTCCTCCGGTTGGTGCACACCAGAGTCACCGTCTGCTGATCCAGCCCAACCTGTGCCACATAGGACGGGTTCAGGAAGCCAGGAGGGAGATGAGCAGCAACAAAGCAGGGCTGAACCTGGCTTCTGGCCCCATGGGAGAAAGGCAGCGGTTGCTCTACTGCCCATGTGAAGACAGGAGCAAGCTGGGCACCCGCAGAGGTGGGATTTAGAATCATAGAATGGTTGGGGTTGAAGGTACTTTAAAGCTCATCCGTTTCCAACCCCTGCCACACGCAGGGACCCCTTCCACTAGAGCAGGTTGCTCCAAGCCCCTGTGTCCAACCTGGCCTTGAACACTGCCAGGGATGGGGCAGCCACAGCTTCTCTGGGCACCCAGTGCCAGCGCCTCAGCACCCTCACAGGCAAGAGCCTTATCGCCAACCTGAACTTCCCCTGTTCCAGTTTGAACCCATCACCCCTTGTCCTATCACTACAGTCCCTGATGAAGGACCCCTCGCCGGCATCCTTGTAGCCCCCTTCAGACACTGGAAGCTGCTCTGAGGTCTCCACGCAGCTTCTCTTCTCCAGGCTGAACAGCACCAGTTTTCTCAGCCGTGAGGGAGGATCACTTCCAACTCTCCCAGTCTCAAAGATTCACTGGCCAAAACACTCCCCATGGACAGAGCACCTCACAAAAACACCCCACTGTGCTGCTCCTGACACCCCTGCAGCCTGAGTGGTGAGGGCTGACCCCACCAACCCACCTCCTGCTCCTCTCCCCAGGGGCTGCACTCACCGAAATGTAGTCCAGCTCATTGTAGGAAACAGCCTCCTCCACCATGTACGGCTTCTCTGCTGCCCCTGGCACAGACACAAAGAGCCACGTGAACTGGGGCAGAGGACCCCAGCGCTGGACCCACAAACCCAGCTGTGTCCCAGGCAGCATGGAGCTGTGGGCCATGTGTCCCAGCGCCTTCTCGGGGGACAAGTCAACCTGAGCTCCCTACTGTGACTGCCACCGCTCTGGGGGACACGAGGCAACTGGCTGGAGCTGGCAGTGAAGGCACTGAGCTCTGGTGCCCTCGTTTATGGACAAGCTCCCTCCCTGTGGCCGAGCACAGAGGCTGTCGGGATGGGATGTACCTTTCCGGATCAGGTACACGTAGCAATCTGTCAGCAGGACGTAGATCAGCTGTAGGTTCCCCTCCATGTGCCCGGTGCTCATTCGGATCATCTGTGTGGAGGGAAAAGAGCTCTCAGCGGATGCAGGCCCAGAGCTGGTCCCTTGGGGGAGATCGTCAGTGGCCACCTTACCCTGAACAACTGTTCCTCATTCTCCCGAAAGACATGGATCATCAGCAGGAGGAGATGGTTGTTATCCACCCTGAGAAGAGAGACAGTAAAGGATGGACATAGTCATAGGGCTGGATGAGTCCAGGAAAGGCAATCTCCTTCCTTACTGAACTTGTCCTTTGGGATTTCGGAACCTGTTGGCCCCCAAGACCTTCCCCTCCTGACCCCTTGTGCCTTCTCTTCAACCTGGAAAAGGATGGGCTTTGCCCCCCAAACCGAGGACAGAGAGAAAAGTGACAGCTTGAGCTCAAGATTGGTTGGGAGATGCTCTCCCTGCTGAGCAAACCCAGCCTCACCTGAACTCGGAGGGATGGGTCAGCTCCGAGGGGCTGCCCTGTCCTTCCTCCACGCCAGAGTCCTCAGCGCTGCTGGGAGAAGGGCTGGGCTGCTCCTTCTTGGGCTCACAGAGAGCCTGGGGCTTGGTGGTGTCTGTCTGGCCAGTGTGGGGTTCATCACTCGCCCCTCCAGACTCCTCTACTGCCCCAACTGCTTCTCCTTCTCTGCTTTCTTCTTCAGGAGCCTCAGGGCTACCAGAAACATGTGGCGGTTGGCCAGGCCCTGGAGAGTCATGGTGGCCACCACCTGGTGCAGCAGCGTTTGGACTCTCGACGGTAAAGCGGTAGAAGTCCATGGGGGCTGAAATCCCCTCACTAAAGTCGCCAGAGGACGATCCATCTGGGGTCTCCCCTGGCGTGCCAGTCCGAAAGGACTGCCCGGGGGGCTCGAGGGGCACGCTCCAGCCCCCGCCGGGGTCCAGCTGCCCATTAAGCCTGTCCATCACCTTGCTCAGCGGCTGCCCCACGCTCTCCATGGACGTGTCCTTCATCTCGGGGATGCGCAGCGCCAGCTGGCCGAGGGCAGAGCGCTCAGCACCCTCCTCCTGCCTGCCGGGGCCGGGCTCACTGCCAGGGCCGTCACCCCTCTGAGGGTCTTCTCTGTCGCTCAGCCCGTTCACGCCGCTGTCACCGCTGGCCTCGGGCGCTGCGGAGCTCACCGGCTCCTCGTGCTTTGCTTTCTTCTTCTTGCCCGTTTTCTTCTTCTTGGCCAACCTGCACAGTGAGAGACAAAGAGAGATGTTCCTCGTCTGTGCCTGCTTAGACTTCTGTGGTGTAGAGAGAGATCCCTTTCATAGAACCATAGGATCTGGTTCTGTGATCCTATAGATCTAAAAGGATCTTAAGAACATCAAGTTTAAGAACATCAAGTCCAACTGTTCCCCCACCACTAACCCCTGGCACTGAGGCCTCGTCTACACGGAGTGTGAACATGTGCAGGGATGGCGGCTCTAGCGCTCCCCTGGGCAGCCTGTTCCAATGCCTGAGCACCCTCTGGGGAAGGAATTGTTCCTCATATCCAGTCTAAAGGACTTTCCCAGCAACCTTCCTTTGCAACTTTCCCTATTGCACAGAACGTTGTGGCCACACAGAGCCTCGTGTCCGTGCCAGCCACCACAAGAAGAGCAGGCTACAGACACCGATCCCTACCCATCCAAAAAGAACAGGGGCTCCAGCTGCCAGACGCAGTATCTTGGGCTTCCTTTGACTGTGAAGGGGACCACAAATGGATGTAGAGCTAAAGTGAGGTGGGAGAAATCCCTGTCTGAGAGCAAGATGCTGGGAAGGGAGGTTTCAAGAGGACGTGGGAATGCTGTGTCCCTGCCTGCCAGAAGAGGGAGATGCAGGCTGGAGCGAACGGCACTCTGGGATTCCAGCTGTGGAAGTGTTCAGGCCTCCCATGGCCACCAAAACTGCTGTCAGGCCACTCCCGTTTGGGAGGTGAGTGCAGTGCTCCCCTTCCTGTGTGTCTGTGATGTAACCCAGCTCCTCTCAGGAAGAACAGGGTGTGAGAACAAAGCACAGGCTGCTGGGCTGGTTTTGGGGTGCCCCCGTCCTGGGATGGGAGCAGACAGAGCCTTGAGCTCTGTCTGGGTTAAAGGCTCCAAGGGACCCCTGGGGATCTCCTCTGGAAGAGTCAAACACAGGACTGCAGGAGGCATCTCCCTCGGCAGGTTTAGCCACAGCTCATTGACAAACAAGAGGAAGGACGGGAGAGAAGGTCTGAGACCCGGAGTTGCTGCAAACCTGCCACCAGCTGGAGAAAACCACACATAAAAGCTCCCGGCTTCCTCCGAGCTCTCTGATACAGTGTCAGGCAAAGGTGTGTATGTTGAGCCAGCCTGTAGCTCTACAAGACCCAAGGGACCAGCTCTGTTGACACCTACAGGGCATCAGTTGGTGTTCAGAGGTATAAAACCACCTTCTGATGATTGTATAAAGGCTACCCCACAGATGCTGTCTCCGCTGGGCTAGAAGGGTTACACATCATCAGCCTGTGGTGCCAGATGAGAGTCAGGGCCGCGTTTCAGGCCAGGCAGCTCTGTCCTTACCTGATGACCTCCAGCTCCGTGCAGCTCTCAGACTGGTCTGTTCCTTCAGGGGTGGCTTCTGCCTTCTCCTGGGAAGCCGTGTGCACCGGTGTGGTCTCAGTGGAGGATGTCACATCCGATTTCTCCTCGTTGAAGGGGTTGTGGCGCTGGGTCGGGCTCTTCACGGAGCCTTTGCTGCCGTTCGCCTCCGAGGCGGTGGAGCGCGGGCAGCTCAGCGTGTCCGTGAGGTCTCCATCTGCAAAGACAAGAAGGGAAGAGCTGGATTAACGTCAGCACAGGCACTAGACCGAGCCAAATCAAGCAAAGCTGGGGGCTGGGGGCATTATATGGTCACCACACTGCTGGCAGTGACACCATCCCAGGTACCCGCAGAGCACTGTCACATCGGCTTAGTTCAGAGACTGCTGCAGGCTGTTTGTGAGGAGGGAGCGAGGCCAACGTGCCACCCAGCGTCACTCTGTGCTTTGCAATTTAGACAACACAGACACTTAGCTGAAATTTAGACATTTAGGTGGAAATAACAGCTTGGTCCCCAGGAGCCAGCAGCTGGATTAAGAAGTAGCATCCTTGGGAAGGAACTTGAAGGGTCTTGGGGCCATGGTGCTCCTCAGTAAGATGCCAGCGAGCCAAGGCTGCTGCTTCCCCTCTGCAATAGGGTCTTAGGAAGATGCTCACTCAGTAGAAGAGCC